GTGTGTCCTGGATGCCGGGGGGGTGGGGGGGGGCGGTTTTGCGTGTGCACCCAGGTCTCAAACAAACATGCACACATAACAATCCAGGTGTCCGGGAGAGGCATGAATGCTCACACCCCTTGTATCCCATGGTGCCATGGGTGGGTCAGGCTGGGACATGTTCACCTGTCTCCTCTGCAGTAGTTGAAATTGGGCTTAATTAAAGACATTCATGAAGGAGCCTGTGGAACAAGTGAAGCTTCCAGGATGCCTGGGTTCCCTCCAGCTCGGGGCGGGGAGGGGACCTGGGGGGTGAGAGCCAGGGATGCTGGGAGCCCAGACGCTTGGCTTCCCTCCGGCTCGGGGCGGGGAGGGGACCTGGGGGGTGAGAGCCGGGGATGCTGGGAGCCCAGATGCCTGGGGGGCTGGGAGCCCAGACACTTGGCTTCCCTCCAGCTCGGGGCGGGGAGGGGACCTGGGGGGTGAGAGCCGGGGATGCTGGGAGCCCAGATGCCTGGGGGGCTGGGAGCCCAGACACTTGGCTTCCCTCCAGCTCGGGGCGGGGAGGGGACCTGGGGGGGGAGAGCCGGGGAGGCGGGCGGGGCGGGGAGGGGACCTGGGGGGTGAGAGCCGGGGATGCTGGGAGCCCAGATGCCTGGGGGGCTGGGAGCCCAGACACTTGGCTTCCCTCCAGCTCGGGGCGGGGAGGGGACCTGGGGGGTGAGAGCCGGGAGGTGTTGGGACCCTGGACGCCTGAGTTCTCTGGGAGGGGAGCAGGGCTGGGGGGGAGAGCACCCACGAGCCTTTGCAGATACCCCACCTGAAGCCGCAAGGGTTCAGGCCTCTCTGGGCCTGGAGAAGCCAGGGACGGCCCCCCCAGCCCCGTATTATTGGAAGCTGCCAATTGAGTGATACCAGCTCTGTGTAGGGGCTCAATAGAAGATGCCGCCTCTTCAGACATCCTCATTGGTTGACGCCGGCCTGTAGAGCCCTACAAGCCGGGGTACCAGCCAGTACAAGTAATATTAACACCAATGGAAGAAGCTGGTTCATGGTAGCTGATTTGCAGTGCCTTTGGCCAATGGGAGGCCCCATCCCGTGGTCAATGGAAAACTCCAGCTCATGGCCTGCATGGCCATTGGAAGATGCCTTTTTGTGACAATGATGGTGACTGAGAGAGGCTGATCCCTGGTGTCCATGCTCCATCCCAGTTCATGGTGTCTGGGGCTGTTGGAAGATGCCAACCGATGGCCATTGGAGGACACCATCTCATGGCATGTCTGGCCACTGGAAGACTCCCAACTCCCAGCGCCCGTGGCCCTTGGCAGATACCGCCGGCACCTACCGGCTCTCTGTGACTCTCCATCTTCCTGCCGTGGATTGCTGCCAACCACGGGGACACGCCTATCCCCGGCCTGGTTTCATCCCTGAACCTGGGATGGGCCTGCCTAGGAGGAATGGGGGTGTTAACGAGCAATTAGCAGCGTGGCCTCCTTGGAGATCCGACCGGTTGGGTGACGGCCGGGAGGGGGTTAAAAGCAGCAGGGAGGAGACACAACCCAGGCCCTTTGCAGCTTGCTGGGAGTCAGGTAAGGCCTGCGCGTGTCCTTCCTCCGCCAAGACCTCTGGGGCCTACCTGCAACCCCAGCCATGTCCAGGACACACCTGGGAGGTCAAAGGTCATGAGGAGGGGCTCTTAAAAGGGTCTGGGGCAGATATAAGCTGTGGGAAAGTCTGTTGGGGGGAAATGGGGGAGGCTGGCATTTAGGTGGCAGGGTGATTACCATATTTATTTACCTACCATGTTTACCCTGCCTCCTCCAATCAGCGCGCGAGAACTGAGGCTTGTCCATTTAAAAGGGGAATGGGAGTTTGACAGGCTTGGTTTCAGGGCAGCGTCTTGTTTCCTTCATCCTGCCTTCTCCAAACGGAGGGCCTGGTTTGGAGGGGTTGCTTTGTCTGCTAATAAATACGGTAACCTAATTAGCTGCCTTGCGTTCCCCCTCCTAAATTAACAGTTGTGTCTCAGCTGAGCCTCTTGGTTTGAGGGGAACATCTTGTGTTCATGCAGTCAAGGTCCGGGGCTTATTTTCAGGGGCTGTGGTGTGCCAATAAATACATTACCTTAATTATTTGCCTGTGATGCTTGCCGTTCCCCTCCTGAAATTTAACGGTTGATAATTGAGGCTGGGTCTCAACTGAACCACTTGGTTTGAGGGAAGTGTCTCATGTTCTTCATCCAGACAAGGTATGGCGCTTATTTTCCGGGGCTGTGGTATACCAAGGAATAGGGTACCGTATTTCTTAACCTGCCACACACACCTTCCCTCCCTACCCCCTAAAAAAATAGCGATGGACAATTGGTTTTAAATGAACTGTTTGTTTAAAGGGAAACACCTTGTTTACTTCCTTCGGCCTTCCCTGCAGGAGGATTTGGGGGTATGTGGGAATATACAGTAATGCATTAAAACTGCATGCGGGGGTACTTAAAGGGGAGGATTGAGCTCTGAGAAGGATCAGAGCTTGGGTGAAACCTTAGGACAAGGCACACTGGGACTCTGATGAAACCCAGTTTTGGGCGGGGCTGTCTCTGGCCCCTAATTACCATATTTTCTCATATACCCCCCCCCAAAACCCCCCCCCCCCCCCCAAAAAAAAATTAGCCCCCTGCTTTGTGAGTGCATGTGTTGAGAAGCTGATTTTTCTGCCCCTGCTTTGAGCCCGGAGTGCAGCAGCTGTGGCATTACTCTTCAAGTGGATTGAATTCATGGCTCATTGTTCTTCACTCTGCAGCTGTTAAGGACTGTCTCTTTAATGGTCTAGACTCCAGATGTTCCACTGATCAAGCTTAGTTTCCCTAGGGCAGCGTAGCTGTTGGTATCTGCTCCTGAGGCCCCTCTTAGCCTATTTCATAGCTTCTTTATCACTTTTCGCCGTGTCTTACATGCGGGAAAATACAGCAAGCTCTGTCCCATTGGGTCATCTGCTTTCAGGCTGGTTTTTCTAACCAATGGGAAGGCATCGCTGTAGAAAGGACTCAAGATCTATCTTTTTCCCAAGGATTTTTCAGCCTTTGGCATATTCAAAGCCACTAATTTGAGCAGCCAATCAGCAGCGTGTGCTGGAAAACCATGAGTTGTTTTTTTAAATTGCCGTATTTCCTCATATACAACGTGCCCTGGAACATAATGTACCACTGGGTTTTGAAAAGCAGAATGAAGAAAGAAGAGACCGTTCCTGAAGAGCTGCAGTGAAGCAGCCTGTTCGTTGGTCTGCTCCCTTGTGCTATCACTTTTGCCCAGTACAAGGCAGAAGCAGGTCTTACCTTATTTCCAGGCATCCTGGTTTTCCTTGATTTAACGCCCCCCACCCCCCTTTTCAAATTAAAAAAGTAACCCAAAATCCACATTTTTCCACAGTGTTTCATTTTAATCACAGGAAAAATGTGGATTTTTTAGTTACTTTTATAAATCCAAAAATTGGGGGGTTTTTTTAATCACAGAAAACCAGAATCCCTGCCACATGTAATGTGGACTCTGATTTGCAACAGCTGATTTTGTTGGGGGAACAGACAAGAAAGGAGTGTATTGTATGGGCAGAAATAGGGCAATGAGTGTGAATAATTAATTGGGTACTTATTCACCGCCAAGCATCTGAGAACCTAAAAGGGGCTGTGTTCCCCAGCCCTTCCTTTCAGCGGAGAAGGCAAGAAACTCTTTTTGCTTTACCTCCTTGTGAGATGATCTGTCATGCTTGTTTTCTTGGGAGCTGGTTTTTAAGTGGAAAGCTAATTAGCTGGTGGCTGGGCTCAACTCTGGAGCCACAGTGTCTATCCCATGTGGGCGCCAACTCTGAATCACTCCTGCGGCGATCTCGGGGATTGACTTGATGGTTACAGGATCACGTCTCCTCCTGTATTATCTCCTTCCAGATCATCAGCACAGTGGCTTTTCCTGATTGGAGACTCCTCTCCTCCATCCCTGCACTTCAGCACAGATGAGTTTTTACCTGTTTCTACACAACTTGACTGGAGAGCATTGGTTTTGAAAAATACCATAGATCCTCGCATACAATATGCTCGCAAAATCGGTCTCCCAAAATTGAGTAGGAAAGCAGATTTTCTGCCTGGGATACTGGTTCCCTTCTGGCTCTGATTGCTCCTCCCCAGTACAGCAGTCATGGCAGCTGAGGGAGAATGTGGACTTCCAGGCTCATCGTTCTTCGCTGTGCAGGCATCAACAATCTTACCTTTTTTTAATGGGCTCGATGTTTCACTAATCATGCCAAGGTTTTTTCTGGCACTGTTGCTATCTGCTTGCTGCGGCTGGTCTCTCTCCTCCAAAAAAAAAAATAGTCCTGCCGACTCTTGTTAAAGTCATAGCTCTGCCCACAGAGACCAGTCTTCAGCAGCATCTAGGGTTTCAGCTTTAGTTAAGCAGGAAAGAACGAGCTAAAGAGGAGGCTCAGTCCTTGCTCTCTGCAGCCATAATGCTAAAGAAATCTCTTTTTTTCTCCCCCTTTGTTCTTCCTTTCCAAAAAGCAAGGTGCATCTTATATGGTATGTGAGGAAATATGGTATTTTCTTTTTGGGATGTATTCCACCAAAATGGATGAAATTCCCCCCTAAAATCACATGATCTTTTATGAAATATTTGCATTTTTCTTTAGCTTTTGTTTGCTTGGAAAAATAAAAAAACTCTGGGAATCTTTTGGGAATCAAGATGATCTTGAATAGATGCAGGTCAGGAGACAGAGGGGGGTTACCGTATTTCCTCATAAACAACACGCCTGCTGTACCTTGTTTTTTGTTGGAAAGCAGAATGTCCAGGGAAAGATCCTTCCAGAGTCACAGCCAACCACCAGCAGCAGCTCAGTGACCTCGAGTCAGCTCAGCTGAAGCTGTAGGCATAAAAATATGGTAGTAATCCTCTTGCCGCCACAAAAGGAATGATTGATGGTGGCAAGAGGATTCATTCTGGAGTACTGCCTTCTCAGTCAGCACCTACCACCATTTCCCCAACAGCTGGGAAAGGGTTAACCGGGGACTCCGACCCTTCTGCTGGCTGGGCCAGAGAGAAGCAGGGGCCATTTTGACCACCCAGCCGCTCCATGCTTCTATTTCAGTGGAGACAAATCAGCCTCCTCTGCTTATGATTTTGCCCCCCTCCCCCACCTCGAATTTTAGAGGGCTGATTTGGGGGCATGTGGCATATGAGACCCAGCCTCAATGTTCAAACGTTAATTTTAGGAGGGGGAATGCAAGGCAGCTAATTAAGCTACCATATTTACTAGCATAAAACGCACTCCCTCCAAAACAGGCAATTGCAGTCTTTTCCCCGCCACCTATTTTAGTAGGGAAAAATTATTCACCATCTCATCAGCTCTGGGTGGCAGCAAGGCTTTGGAGCCCCCAGCTTTGTTAGGGCCCTGTCCGCACCCCGCCCCCCCTAATCCAGGGGCCACCAACTGGGGAGCAGGGTTGGGGGGCCGGGGCAGCCTGGGTGCTAATGATGCCTGTCTCTCTCTCACAGGTCTCTTGGCCCCCATACACTCCACCCAGTGCCATGAAGGTCCTGGGTTTCCTCCTCGTGCTACTGGTGCCCCCAGGTAATAGTGCCTCCTCAGTGGGGACCTCCAAAACCTCCCTGTCTTTTTCCCAGTGCCCCCCATAAACCCCCCCCCTTTGGTTCTGCCTTGTTTCCCAGGGGCCAAACTTATTGGGAAGCTGGTGCCAGGGACCAAGCCCTGTCTGCCACACTCGCAACCCTGGCAGGCCGCCCTCTTCACCCACCAGGGCTACAGCTGCGGGGGCACCCTCATTGCCCCAGAGTGGGTGCTCACAGCTGCCCATTGCCAGAATGGGTAAGTGCCCCCAGGGGGGATTGAACCTGCAGCCTCTGAGTGGTAGGGGGACCCACATCATCCCCTAGGGTGATGGAGGGGAGCATGTGACAAAGTGGGTGTGGCTTGTGTTGGGGTGTGGTTCAGATGGGTGTGGCTTCAAGTGGAAGGGGCTACTTGGGGCACTTCCGGTTGCATCCATGGGTGGATTTTCCTCCCACACTGCTTTGGACGGGGGAGGAATAGGTGTCCCAGATGTGCCTGGGTTCTCAGCCAGGTCTGGGAGCAGGGTAGCAGCTTGGGTGTGAGAGCAGGCGGGGCTGGGAGCCTGGACACCTGGGTTGTGTGGGAGGGGGTTGGGGGTCCAGGGGGTTGGAGCAGGAGGGGCTGGGAACCCGGATGCCTGTGTTCTCTGGCAGGGGAGGGGCGTGGGGGATACGAGCAGGGGTTGGGAGCCCGGACGCCTGGGTTCTCCCCAGCTCTGGGTGGCAGGTGAGGCCTTGTGTCTGGGTCCTGATGTTCCCCCCACCTCTGCCCCCTCTCTTCCAGCCTGATCCAGGTGCGCCTGGGTGCCCACAACCTGCAGGGGGTGGCCAGCGGAGAGCAGCGGGTGATAGCCATCCAGTCCTTCCCCTACACCAACTACAGTGCCCGGAGCCGGGAGGGCGACATCATGCTGCTCAAGCTGGTGCCCCCTGCTGTCCTCACTCGCTACGTGCAGCCCCTGCCTGTGGCCCCCACCTGTGCCCCCCCAGACACCACCTGCCTGGTCTCAGGCTGGGGCAGCACCACCAGCCCCTACGGTACGGGGGGAACGGCGGGAGGTGGGGTGATGCACAATATATGGCCCAATGGGTATGGACCGGAAGCTGCGTCCCTGCCAGCTGAGAGCCCATGTGCATATTCAGATATGCAAATAGTATAGCAATCACAAAGCAGGACAGCCTTAGGATGCGATAGTATGTATAGACTCAATTACAGTATCATGCACATTAACATATGCAAATATATTTAAATTGCAACATAGGATGTCTTTGGAAAATAATATGATTATGATACCTGAACAGGTTACAGGGGTGGGCGGATGAGAACAGGATGGGTTTCAACGCTGACAAGTGCAAGGTGCTGCACCTGGGGAGGAAGAACCAGCAGCACACCTACAGGCTGGGGAGCTCCCTTCTCGTCAGGGCAGAAAGGGATCTTGGAGTCATTATTGATGCCAAAATGAACATGGGCCGACAGGGTGGGGACACGGTCAGGAAGGCCAACCGCACCTTGTCATGCATCCACAGATGCATCTCGAGCAGGTCCAAGGAGGTGATCCTCCCCATCTATGCAACACTGGTCAGGCCACAGCTGGAGTACTGCGTCCAGTTCTGGGCACCGCACTTCAGGAGGGATGTGGACAACATAGAGAGCGTCCAGAGGAGGCCACTCGCATGATCAGGGGGCAGCAGGGCAGGCCCTGCGAGGAGAAGATACGGGACCTGAACCTGT